GGGTCGGGCAAAGTATTACTGGGTTTTTTAAAAAAAATCTCAGTAATTGTGATACAGATTTTACCTACTACAGACACCAGTCTCAAGTTTATTGTGTCATCTTATCTATGTATACATCTTCTATATATCTATATCTATATAAATATAATAAAATCGTAGGAAAGTGAAAACTGTACATTGAATATCTTTTAAAAGAATGCTTGGCGCGTGATCTACAGTCGATATCGAAATCCAAAAATATGGTTTTAGAACTTTTGTCTTTATGTATGTCCGGGTTAAACTCAAAAAGTACTGTATGGATTTACTTCAAATTTTACATGAATATTACTAACAGGTTGAGTCCACGTTACCACATACGTTACCCATTATCACGTTATCACCTACATGAGAGGACTGTGGCTCACTCCACGCGGACGAAGTCGCAGGCACAGCTAGTAGTTTGATGTAATCTTTGTTGTTAGTTGATGTTGAGAAATATTCACTACAAAAAAGTCAACAGTTATTATATTTTGGCCAAACTGAGACCTCAAAATTAGACCTTAATATCTAGACTTGTATACAACAACTAGGCCAATAAGTCTATTTATAATATCAGTCGAATATGTCTTGAAAAATCTGTTTCTACATACACTTGAGTGCACTGAAACGGAGTCACAGGCCATTTTTCTTTTTCATCGCTTGATAAATATTTTCTGATAAGTATTTTATTAATCGGTAACGTATGTCGTATAAAAGGCAATGTGGTTATCTTTAAAATGAGAGCATTTTGTTGCAAAAGGAACATTTTTAAGTTATATAGATTTAGATGGTTGTAGTGGCCCGGAGGTTAAAGACGCCCGATTCTCATGCATGAAGGTGCGGGTTCAAAACCTACCAACAGCAAGTACCAATGTGACCCGAGTTATATGTACTTTTGAAGATACGACAACGGTGAAGGAAAACATCGTGAAGAAACCTGGGCTTATAATTTCGCCAACCCGCATTGAGCAAACGTGGTGATCAATGCTCAAACCTTCTCCGTGTGAGAAGAGGCTTTGCTCAGCAGTAGGTATTATAGGATGATGATAGAGTGTTAGATTAAATGAAAATACGCTAGTGGCTCCATTTCTTTGCTTCCAAGTGTAACTACATGATACTAGTTATATGTATAATAAATATGTTCTAGTTTTTGCGTTAGTGATATCAAATAAATGGGATTCGTAGAATTTTCAATGAATTCCATATTACAAGATAGTTTCATAGCTATATATAACATGCTCCCATTTTCATCGTAATAGAATATCATTTGATTCTCAGAATTTACTAATTTCTATGTATGGTATATAGCTTTATTCTTTAGTACAGGTTACACGTTGAATTTATTTATATTTCTGTTCTAGATATGGTTGTTTTTATTGCTGTTGCTGAAAATTTACTTCGTGTTTTAGAGGTCTTATTAAGTCGATTAACTATATTCTTCTTCTTTTGACATCATAATCTTCTATTCTATAGTCTCTTAATTCACACTTTCATCTCCACCCAGTCCAAATACTCGTCTAGTTATTTAGGAAACAGAGAGTAAAGTGCTCTAAGATCGGATACGGAGAATCCTCCGACCAGGCAAGGCGTTAGTGCCTGGCAAGCTTTCTGCCCGACAGTTGTTCGTTAGGATTTTCTATCCGTGTTAATTCGCATGTAAACTTCACATGTGCGATGTATGATTTTATGACGTTATCTGTTGATTTGTCGCGGAGAAACTAACGGGTTACCGGGGCTCTGGCTCGACGTGCAGGAGAAGGAACGGGTGGTTTTTAGCCAGTAAGAGTCTGACACTCCCTCCCGCCTCACCCAGGCGGGAGAGCCATTCGATGATTTTACCCCTTAAAAAAAAATCTGATGATTTATTTTTCATTGATGGTCTATGTGCATGAGCTGTCATTTGACATGTGATATGGTACAACATAGGTATGGTAAAACACACCTTTCAAAGTCTATAGAGAAATACACTAGATATATAAATCTCCATATATTTTCAACCATGGACCAACAATCCCGTATTCACTCTTCTCACATAGTGATTTATAGTAGTGCGAGTCCTAACGATGATTGGTGTTCACGATGCGATGGAAACTAGTCCATGTACCGCTGCAGTAATTAAAATATCAACTGACTGATAAATGTGTTCTGTTCGAATGGATGGAAGGATTTTATTGATGTTGATGGGAATTTTTGAGGGAAATTGGTGTAGTGATATTCGTATTTTTGAGGAAATGCTTATTCATAGACTTATTACGTTGATTTATTACACTTTAATCATACAAATAATGTTATTGATATAATCAAGTGACCTAATGATTAATAATTCTAATGACATTCAGTAATAATAATCAATCCAAATCATTGTTTCCAACATAGCGTTTAAAAATGTTGTTTAAGACCCTAATGTTACCTATGTTCACAATTAATTAAATGAATTTGAATTTGAATGATATAATGTGATTGATCAAGATTGTTTTGACTGTGTTGTATTTTCTGAAAAATTATTTTGCATAAAATTTTGTTCCAAGGCATATCTATCTATCTATTTTATTTACATGAACTTTAAAGAGCTGCATAAAAAACTTACTAACTTAAACTACTACTTCTAGAAGAGAAGTCACTATTCGTTGACATCAAAATGAAAGCGTACTTAAAAACAGTAGCATAAAAGACAAACCACAAACAAAAAACCAGCCAGACGCGAAAACCACAAAAAAACAAAATCTGAACTAAAAACCAATTGAAGGTGGAGTAGAAAAATTCTTTTGAAAACCGTTTCAAAAGGGGACCGAGAGTATTTTTCTCCTTTGGACTTGCTCGATATAATAACTTTTGCCTTTTAATAGTGCCCGCTTCATTTAAGTGTTCGGCAACTGAGAATTTCTTCGAGAACCTTCCATTTGGAGATGCTCCAAAAGCTTTTATAAATCGAACCGGCTTTAAATGAAGTGCAAGCGCTATTTATTATTGTGTTTTGAGACAGATATTGCCTAGTTTCTGAGGAGATTTTAGAAGCAGTGCAATCTTCGCTTCGTGCTGTGATACGAGGTGTTTCTCTGCTGGAATAGTTTCTATTGTTTTAGATTTTGTTCAAATGGAAACTTGTTCAATACTCGAATATTCTGTTGTACAGAATGCTGTTTTGTAAACAAAGGTATTATCTGATTTAGGAGCGCTATTATTATCTTCTATTACAATATAATTATTGATAAGCATTTGTGTAAATAGGTTGCATATGTATAGAACACATATCTATGTAACTCGATGCCTATATATATCTATATATAGACATCTAACCCCTTTAGTCAACTATCATTCAAAGACACGCAGCAAAACATACAACTGCACAAGACTGTTACTAATGGCAGTGTCAGAATACATCATAATATAACAAAAAGTTGATTAGTCGTGTCAAACACATACATCGAGGCGAGAAGTTTTATAAATGTGTGACGTCATTCACACAGCTGTCTGGCACAACAGAATTATCGTAAATATGTTTTGCTCTTTTTAATTTTATTTATATAAGCATCCATTCGATTTTTGCTTAGCTAAGTAAATGAAATTCCAACATTTTCTCAGTTTTCTAAAGTTATATTCTTATCCTGTGCTCTTGTAGGTATACTTTTTACTAAATAATTTAAGAAGAAGATCGCAATTAGCATTCTTTAACATTGCCCCACTGCTGTGTCGTGGGTGCGTTTACAAACATAATCCTTACTAATATTATAAATTGGAAAGTGAGTTTGTTTGTTCCGCTTTCACGCCGTAACTACTAAACCAATTGCTTTGAATTTTTGCAGACGTAATGTTAGAAGTATGGATTAAATAGTAGGGTACTTTTTATTCCGGATAAAATTGATATTCTCGAAGGAAAACAAAAGTATTGGTATAGATGGCGCTGTGTGTATTGGTATATGTCACATAGGCTACTTTTTATCCTTTTGTGACGCGAGCGAAAAGCCGCGGGTAAAAAGCTGTGAACTTATACATAACTACTTATACATAAGTATAACTTATACATAGTTATGTATAAGTTCACATACACATGAAACCCATACCGAAACAACAATTTGTGGATCAAACAAAGAGTTGAAACTTGTGGGAATCGAATCCGTTACACGTTGCGCGGCAGCCGGCAACTGCGCCGTCAAAAGTTCAAATCCTCATCTTTACTAGTTCCCCACAAACACCGCTAGTCACAAGGTTTAAATATCTTAAATTACTGTTTTTATTTTTTTATTTTTTAATATACTTTCATAGTGCTGCCTCATGTTGTCAGATGGGTCGTTTGTCTTTTGAATTGCGAAGCGAAATGTTCTGATGCAGTTGTTTTGAGATTAACGGCGTGCATAAAACTTGAATGATGTAGTTTGGACTTGAATTTATTATATGACTCACATTATACAATTTGTGAATGAAACAATAACAGTAGATTTTAAGGCTTGTTTTTCATGTAATGTAGAATAACTTTACTACTTTTAATTAAAAGTATATCGGCAGTTGTGAACATTGCCATTTTTATTTGAGATTAAGGCATTAGGTTTAAAAAATAGTGTTGAATCTTTAGATCATCATATTCAACTTATACATTTCTATCATGTCGCGGAGAACCTAACGGGTTACCGGGGCTCCGGTTCGACGTACAGGAGAAGGAACGGGGCGGTTTTTAGTCAGTAAGAGTCGGGCACTCCCTCCCGCCTCACCCAGATGAGAGGAGTGATTCGATGATTATCCCCCTTAAAAAAATACATTTCTCAATGTCAGAATTCAACCAAATCTGTTGATGAAATGATATTTATATCTGCAAAGAGGTTACAATGTAATACTTTTACACGTCAATCTTTAAATTACTATGCGGGCGTTTCTAACTGACTACTCTGAGAAAAAACGCCAAAACAAACTCAGAAATTATTCTTCAGCGGTTTAGGAATAAAAGTGTAAAGAAACAAACAGAAATTAACATCATATTTTCTTCCCCAGGTTACGGCATCATTCCACTGAAGATTCCATCATCACCAGCTACCCATTGTACGCTGCATACCACTGTGGGTTGTGTTGGAAACGACGAATGTACTGCGAAAAGCCACAGTGTGATCCGTCTGCTGGGCCCAGTGAGGGATGTGATCGTGCGCCCAGCTCGACACCATTATCGACCTGGAGAGACTAGTAAGTTTTTATTTTATTACCCTTAGGATTCTACGTTGCACAATAAGGCTACTGTTAAGAAATTAATTTTGATTGGTGATAATTATCATTATAAAGAGTATTTTGGAGACTTAAAATGTCAACCAAACTGTATTATCCATCATCGTCAACAGCCTATAAGTGGCCATTGCTGACCAAAGACTTCTTCTCACATGGAGAAGGTTTGAGCAGCAATCACCACGCTTGCTCAATGCGGGTTAATGATTTCAACATTATAATTAGAAATTATAATCCTAGATTTCCTCACGATGTTTTCTTTCACCGTTTGTCAGTGGTATCTAAATAATGTTGGATGTTAAAATTCACATTGGTACTTGCCGTTGGTAGGTTTTGAACTTTTAAACCCGCACCCTCATGCATGAGAAACGAGCGTCTTAAACCTCCGGGGCACCATGACATTATACATTGTAACAATATGCTTTATCTACAGTTCTTGTTATTAATATGTAGCCTGTCACCATCTACATTGATGACCAGGTATTTAAACCGTAGAGTTTACATTACATATTACGGACCTTAATGCCACTGTAACACCCACTTGTCACTATATATGTTATGAATCCCATGTAATAGGGGGTGAGCCTATTGTCATATGCCGGGCACAATTCCAGACTCCGTGCTACTACTAAGATTATTTTTAAAAAACGTAGTAATGTTTTTCCCGACCCCGAAATCGAACCCGACCAACGAGACAGCAGTAATGGTTTAAGCGTTATTTTTGTGAATATTTATTTAACATTATTCATTGTATTAACATTTCTACCTTTCATTCGAACTTCATTTTACCAAAACAAAATACCTCCTCATTAACCGACTTCTTTATACTTAAGTAAGTCTTTCCGAATTTAATTTCATTACAACTCGTAATTCCTTACTTTCGTATCGGATTCTAAAATTTTCCTTTCCAAATATACGTTTGTAATACTTCGGCCATTTTTCCTCCATAAAACAGACAGTACGAACAAATGAGTTTTGTTTTATTTTAAAGTTTACTGCCCATAAAATTACGAAACTCGGACGGTCGTACGGATTTTAATGGAATTAACACTTAGCTTGTACCAATAAACGCTTGGAAATATAAAATGGTGTGCGAAGTTTCGTTATGTTTTTTTAAATCTTTATATATATAATTCTTCTGTGAGTGTGTATGTCACTGAACTTCTCTCAAACGACTGGACCGATTTTGATGTTTTTTTTTGTGTGTTCAAGGGGATCTGGGAATGGTTTAGATTCACAAATCAGAACGGCAGATGGAGCTGCAGTCGATGTTTACGTTATTTATCCTAAACAGCTGAACTAATTTGAATGAATTTTTGTTTATACATTCAAGTGGATATGCAGGACAACGTCTGTTGGGTCCGCTAGTAATATTATATAACTTTTTAAATTATTTTATTGATTGAGTGACCACAGATTAAACTGTTGAGTACAGAGACTCTATTTCACCCCATAAGGATTTTTTTATTTTTTTTAACGCTTCATACACAGTCTAACGTAAAATGGACTTATTGCCGTGGGCATTATCTTCCAGGTCAATGAATAAGGTCAAAGATATAAATGTATCTGATTTCTAATGCCAATTTCGCTTTACTTCATATTTATTTTCCGTATCTTATACTATTACATAAAGCGGAAGAGTTTGTTTGTTTGTTTGACCGCGCTAATCTCCGTAACTACAAGTTTGATTTGAATAATTCTTTTTGTGTTGGATAGCGCATTTATCGAGGATGGCTAAAGGCTAAAACATCACGCTATGACCAATAGGAGCTGAGCAGAGCATGTGAAACTGCGCAGAAGTAGCTAGTTAAAGTAATATTTATTGTACATTCAACATTATTAAAGGTGCAGAAGTTTTACTTATAAAGACAAATATGACAATATGTGACAGTTTATTTTATAGTGTTTATTATACTCACATAAGAGAGCGTTACCATGACACAACCTTCTTCATACCAAGCGCCTTCAATTAGCAAGAGCTTACGTATAATTATAGAAAATACTTGAAACAGTTCTATAATAATATCATCAACAGGAAATTTACTGAATAATTTTCCTTTTAATGTTTCCTTGACAACGAATGAACTCAGGCAACTTGTAGGTAGAGATTATATTTTATGTTGCTTTTTTAAATTTCTGTTTCATAAAAATTTTTGACTTATAAATAAAAATATCATCGTCAGGTTTTTTGAAATGTGTTTTTAATCAAATTAATATAAAATGGATGACAAGAGATATAAACTTACACATGCAAAGAGCGTGGCCTTATCTTAAGGTAGTAAAAAAAATTAAACGAGCAGACGGATCACTTGATCGTTAGCAATCGGCGTCGCCCATGGACGCCTGGAACACCAGAGGTTAATACAAGTGCGTTAACAGCCTTTTGGGGATTGGGAGTTTGAGGATCGTTGGGGATTCAGAAATTGGGGAGATTGGGGAAGGGGAGAGTAATTGGGCCTCCGGTAACCTCACTCACACGACGAAACACAACGCAAGCGTTGCTTGACGTCGGTTTTCTGTAAGGCCGTGGTATCACTCCGGTCGAGCCGCCGCGAATGGGCCGTGGCGAAGTATGGCTCAAATCAGTGCACTGAACTCAGTGTAATCGCAATAAACTCACATCTTATTACAATACCAGTAACAAAACAAAACACACTACCTTAAGCACTTATCACATCTTTCACCGTACAACTAGTGAAACTTTATACTAGAGGTAAAACAACTACACACATACTAGTACGAACTACACCTTACTAACGAACTTTACAGCATCAATATGTAAAATCTCACGGCAGAAACATGAACCGAACTATCGAACACGTTACACGGTGCACTGTTCATTCGTGCATAGGAAAATATCGATGCTAAATCTCCTGGCCCGAAGTTAGTACGAACTTTCATTTTATTGTACGATTTTGGAACTAGTTTCGAGTATTAACATGTTGGAATATGTATATCTAATAGCTATACATGTTTTATGTAGAGTGGGTTTTGTTTGGCTGTTTTAAAATTCTATTTTAGGCTCTTAAAATCTGATTGATGTCAAGCTGGTGGATTCTCATTTTTTTAATTTGTAATTTATATCTCGAAGTCTGCAATGGTGAGAGTATATTACAGCAACAGAATTACCCCTTTAATTAGACTACCTCATTGGCCGAGTGGTCACAAGTGCGACTGCCGGGCATGAGGTCTCGGGTTCGATTCCCGGGTCGGGCAAAGTATTACTGGGTTTTTAAAATACTCAGTAGTAGCACGGAGTCTGTAATTGAGCCCGGTATATGGCAATAGGCTCACCCCCTATTACATGGGACTCATAACATAAATAGTGGAAAGTGGGTGTTACGTTGTACAGTGGCATTAAGTGTCGTAATGTGCACCTCTGCCTCCCCTTCAGGGATAAAAGGCGTGATGTTATGTACGTATGTAATTACCCCTCATCAGATTGGTAAATTTTCATATGGGAAAGTTTAGCTTTCTTACTCAAGGATTGAAACGAACATTTTGGATTAGGTATTGGGGATTCCTCACTTGACGAAAAACAACGCAAGCGTTATTTCACGTCGGTTTTCTGTGAGGCCGTGGTATCACTCCGGTCGAGCCGGCCCATTCGTGCCGAAGCATGGTTTTCCCACACTTAAATGAGTACATGTGAACATGATTGAAAAAGAGTAACCTATGGAGTTTCTTGCTCGTTCTTCTCCATAGGAATCTACACTTTGGAACGAGCAAATAGCTTCACTAGAGGACCGACCTACAGACTGACATTTTTTCTTATTATTTAATATTTAAATATTTTGTTTTGACGTTCAAAAGTGCCTTCCTGGTCTAATTGAAATAAATGATTTTGACTTTTGACTTTTTGACTTTTGAGTATGAAACTACGAGAAGCTAGTGTTCTTACCACAGTTTCACCGTTTATAAAGCCACGTGAGAGAATACCCTAATTTGATGCCATCACATGCAGATATGCGGTCAGACAACGAAAACCGCATGTCCCCATCTACTTAATTATAATTACATGTTACACTAACTTTGTGGTTACTCTAAGTAAACCAGTTAATTATTGCTGGGTTTTAGGATTAAATAGAGAAAATACACAACAGCTGTTACAGATACCACTTTTGTGGTAAATGCTCGTACACAAGACTGCGATGCGGCGTCGCATCGCAAGAACTTGCGAAATAATTCGCATCGCGCATCAAGATCTTATGTTACCAAAATCTTTTTTGTTTTTTTTCTGTATCCTCTAAGCAATAACAGAAGTGCGCACTTCTTTTTACCACGAACTTCTTCGTAGTCGTTTTCTTCATTACTGAAGGTCGTGTCTAGTCTGGTGCACTTGATGCACAACCCTCTTCCAAATGCCCCTGTCCTCTGCGGTCTTTATGGCTTGTGGAACTGTCAGGCCGGATAGGTTTTTTACAGCATCCAACCACCGGGTAGGTGAGTGACCACGAGGTATTTTCCCGTTAACCTAACCAACAACCACAAGCTTTTCCAGATTGTTGGGGTCTCTACGCGCAATGTGCCACGAACAAGTTTTCAAATTAAAATACGTTTAGTACGGTTGACGGGCGTTAAAGGAATGGTCACCCTGGGAGACGCCTTGTCGCACAAAATCGCATCGCAGTTTTGTGTACGAGCCCAAAGACCTTTTGCCATTCAATATATTTTTAAATTTTAAGTTCTAATGTCCCATAATGTAAAACTCCTTTATGCCAAACACTTTTATATAGGTACTTGTCATAATAGTTCTTAAATATAATAATTGACTGCTCAACATATCGATAGTTTAAACCTCTCCTATGGTTTATTCAAATTGAAATCGTTGATAGTTACAGAATTCAAGCTTTAACTAAATAGGGCATCATTCTACATATCTTATCTACACTCTACAGCTCTCCATTGTACGTAAGATTCATAACTTACCTCACAAAAACCACTAACACACCGTGCAACTGTGC